ACTCCTATCCCATAAAATGTCATCTATTTAAAAGGCTCGGTACACATAGGTCTGAGGAAGCCCACATATTATATCCCCTTCTAATAGACTCACAAACTGTATTAATCTAAGATCTAAGAACGCCCACAGCTGAGAAACCTGCTCTGTTCTTTTGACCCAGATAACAAATCATATTCTCATATAATACCAATTAACATCCTAGTATTCTACAGAAAAAGCTGAGCAACTCATGCCTGTATTAGCTTCGCTGTGTTGGGGACATACCACATGTGGCTGTGGGGCTGCCATGGTGCTGCTTATACAGGACAATAAAGCAGAAGTAGCTTTTCCTCCACTGTCAAGAAACACCACTCCTACTACATTCCCCAGCCTATGTGCATCTTTAATCCTCCATGCACAGAAGAACAAACCTCAGCCCTCTCTCCTGCCCTTCAGGTCCACCAAACCCAGTGCGGATAGTGCATCAAGGCTCCTGGGTTCCTGATTATTTTTCTAGAACCTTCACAACACTCACCCCCTGAACCTGAGCAAAGCAACTGACCCAAAGAGAAAGCAGCACAGAGAACAAGATAGCACTTGGAGGTATTCTTGTGTGACTGACCAAAGGAAAGAGGAGGGCTGTGGAAAGCTGCAGAGCAGGGGACAAAAGGCCTATCTGAGCCTGAATGAGTTATAGAAGAGAACAAGGGAATAATGATGAGAAATGGATCTTCTTCCCAGCTCTCATTTCTTTCCCTGGTAAAAGCCCTGAATGGCCTTGGTGATTGCTCCCAGCTGGGCTTGCTCGCTCCTTCAAATCTGTGCTCTGTGCTCCCTCTGCTGGCTCTGCCATAGCAGTTAGATTTCAAACCAACTGCAATGTATTTAACATCTACATTAAGGGGCCTTCAGCACTGTTTGCCACTTCTTTTGTACTTGACTACACTTCCCAGTAAAGATGAGAAGTCAGCCTCTTCTATGTTAACAACAACAAAAGCAGAGGCAGGAAATGAGTGATTAAATAAGTTACTGTTTTTCATTCCATGAAATGCAGCTACCTAAATTAGTTTAAAACTGTCTTCTCCCCTCCAATACACCTGACAGATGTCATTATTCCTAGTAAAGACAGAAGCTGCCATTCAAGAGATCCTCAAATATGGGGATGAGGTAGTAAAGATAGCATCAAAATCTTGGTGGGATGAAGGGCTGGACACTAAGGATTTCAAAAAGCCCCATTTGAAATTCTGAAATGTCTTCCTTCAGCACACCAAGCATCCTTCAGCACCTCCCTCACGGGACTGGAAACGAGAAGATGTGAGAAAACACTGCCATTTTAAAGTGCTCCATTGCTGTATTGCATAACTAGTTACCTAAATCCCAGTCTATTTGCATCTTTAACTTCTCATGCACAGAACTTACTCAGCCTCCATCCTGCCATTGTGTAATGTGGTAGAGGGAACACGGTTATCTTCAGCCTCTGTTCACAGGAAACTTACAAGCTACAGACTGACACAGAACACATTTTGCAAAAGGAAGAATTCTGGAAATTTCTGTAAATGTGCTCCAAGTGATAACTCACATAAGTTCACTGAATGTTTAAAAAGGTACCTCAATAGGCCAAGGCATGCTTTCTTAAATGTGCATGCATCTCACTGGATCAATGTTGTTACATGAAAAACTGAAATCATAAATAACACAGCAACCACCCCAATGGGAATACCCACTGGAGCCAGTCAAAAAATGCTTTATATATTGAAATTTAGTGATGCCAAGGTTAAGCAACTAGTGGAAGTTAGGATTTAAGTCCAGATCTGCCTGACTCCAAAATCCCTTCAGCATCTCACCGCTCCACTACTCTGTATTATCACCCAGTCTCCACCTAGATTGTTACCTGAGGTTCCTTCCATAGAGTGTTAAGCATAGTAGAGCAGCTAGACATGACCATCAACAGCAGATCTCAGGTCACGTGAATGCTGAGCAAAGTCCTATGTGCTCTATGGGAAATCCATGGCCTCCCAGAAATTACAAGATAATAGAGCAAGGGTTGTATGCAAAATAAATTCAGTACAGCCAACAGATCCTCCACATGCTAGAAACAGCCAGTCTGAAAACAATGGGAACAAATTGCTGTTTGAAAGCATAATAAAGAATGAATTCCAACAAGAGTAACCAAATTCTCCAGAAAAAAACATAACAATTTGTCAAGCCTTTATGAAAGACCCATAAAGCTTTTATAGGAAGAAATATGAAGAACAGTTAACCCATGTTCCTAGCTGGAAAGACTAAATATCATATATTCTTTCTCCAATGTGTTCAATAAAGTAATATGAACTACCATCACCAAATCATTTTGATATTAGCACACAGATAGGCATATAAATCAACTTTAAAGTACAATTTACAAAGCATATGGGAGAATTTAGTCTAAAGTGATAGTGGCATTTCAAATTAGTGGGGAAAGGATACAGTATTCAATCAGTGGTGTGAGACAATTCATTATGGATTTAGGAAGACACAAATTCTTACCTAACAAGAGACACAAAACCAAATTCCAAGTGGGTGAATGAGTTAAACATTGAAACAAACAAAATAAAAATCAGAATATTTTAAACATTGCCCGATATGAAACTGAAGTCCAAAACCTGACATTTTTGAGTAGAAAAGAAACAAAAATGTCTATAAAAGAGGTCGGGAATTTAGTTCAGCAGTTCCGCCACCTGCCTTGGAAGCGCAAGGACCCCAGTTCGATCCCTGGTACCAAAAAAAAAAAAAAAAGTCTATAAAAGAATAACATCTAAAATAACAGGGGAAATCAAATGATAAATTCAGAAAAAACATTTGAAATACATATGATAATCAAAGGAAAATTTTAAATTTATTAGTACATCTTTGCTGTACATAGTAATTACGTACATTGTAAGGAGTTGGTCATGCATATAACATATCATAAAATCTTATTACTTCTTCTTGTCCTCCCCACCTCCCTATCCTCCACCTCTAGATCCTTTTCCCATTTGCAAAAGATCTATGTCCCTGATTCCTATTTTCCATCATTTATTTTGCACTTTAAATTACTTATGCTTTGGGTTTCTTACATAAGAGAATGCGATTTTTATGCTTGTCTGATTTATTTAACTTAATATTATGGCCTCATGGTGCGCCCATTTTCCAACATATTATTTTTGAAAACAAAAGTTAAGAAGCAGATTTCAGGAGCTAGGAGTGTAAGTCAGTGGTAAAGCACTTGTCTCGCATGTACTAGGCCCTGGGTTCAATCCTTAGCCCTAAAAAAAAAAAAGGCAGATTCCATAAAAATGTGTACGTATTCATTCATGTTAAATATATAAACACATAAAAATAAAGCATAGCTATAAGTTGACTATTGGCAATGGTTATTTTTATGAAATGATAAAGACAGAGAGGATTTGACTGTTGCTGGAATCTTTACATGCTGGAGGGGGCAGAGACAGAGGAAGCACTGTAATTAGCCACAAAGTCCCCTGGAAGATGTGAGTGGAGTGCAGTGATGAGAAGACACCTAGTAAACAGGACTTGAGGGTTTGCCTCCTGTGAGGTAAGTTCCAAGAGCTGCTCCCCACATGACAGCAGAGCGACAAAATATGATAGGAGAGGTGGCAGTATGGGATGAGGCTCCCACAGCCTCAGAATGGCCTGTGGAGCAGCAGAAAGTAGTTTCTCCCCCATCAGAGCCACAAACTGGCTGAGAAAAAAAATTACAGCACCCATGAGGCCTGGCACCTCATGTGGAGGTCATAAGCTCATGGCCAGAGCAGACAGAAAACAGGAGCAGATGCCACCTTACAAAGACGGAGATCATGATTCAGAACACACACACACACACACACACACACACACACACACACACACACACAGATGCCACCCTGCGGTAAAACAAGGGAGCACAGAAATCCTGAGTTGATCTAGGAACCTGAGGACACCACACCCACCAGGTAGAATACAGCATACAGGAAGGTAAGAAAGCAGAACAAGGTGGAACAATACGCAACTGGAGGAGAGAATTAAAGGTTTAGAATGACTGCTGAAAGCTGAACAGGGCGAAGAGAAAGGGCACAAATGAAAGATAAAGTTGTACTGATCTTCGCTGTAGACCTGAATGTACGGATTGTGCAAAATGAACCCAACACACCTGTTTCATAGGATTGTTTTAATACGATAAGGTGACACTGAGATAAGACAGGGCTCCCCACACACCTCTCCAATGTTGACATATCTGTTTAATATATAATTTTAATTAACTTCAATAATTTTAATTTAAAAATGACTTTACTATAGCTCATGATTTCTTTACCCAGTCACTTTTAGATTCCCTATTTTTTAACAAAAGAGAACTGCAATGTGGCCAAGTTTACTGAGCTTAGTGTTATTGTATGCATGAAATATGACCAAAGCATCACCTCAGAATTAACATATTTTCCCACATGGAAGTGATGTGACCAAGTGCTTGTAATTACTTCTGAACTGATAAGATACTGATTCAAGATTTCCTCTCTACAACAGGATACACGATTCAACACAGCATTTTTTTTTTTTTTTTTTTGCAGGAACTACAGTCTAGATCAGTTTTGCCCGTTGCCTTGTCAAACCCAGTTTAACCGCACCGAGTAAACTGAACTGATGACCTGTCTTTAACTCCGGCCAGCACAGACTGTTTTTCCTTTAAGGATATAGCATTGGGAGCAAGAAATGAATTATTATCTATGTATTTATCACAATCAGGGTTGCAACAGCATGTCTATCACATGCTAGTACGTATTTTGCATAATTATTTCATTTAAACTTGACAACTGCTTCCATTATATAGATAAGGAAGCTGAGTCTGAGAAATGCTGAGGTGCTTTTGGTACAGACCAATGCCAATACCCTAAATTGATTTCAAAGGCCGTGCTCTTACCACTGCACCACAATACCTTACTGTCGAAAATACATAGGCTACCTGTGGGTTGTGCTTTTGAAAAATCTTGTCCAGACATCCACGGTGTAACAAAGGCCACTCCCCACTGCCGCACCTCTCCTCTCTTCCCGTCCCGCACACCTTTTCTCTGCCATCCCGCCTTCCCCACGTTCCCAAGCCCAAGAGTCCTTCGAGGCCTTACACAGCCCGCCCCCCCTGCCTTCCTTCGGTCCTTCCTTTCCTACCCACTGGGGGCCCGCTCTCGGGTGGGGACGCCGACTCAGGTGCTCTCGCAGAGAATCCGCGGGCCCGGGGTCCTGCCCCACCCACCGGGCCCTCGGACCACGCTCAGCAGAGCACGCATCAGCCCGCGCGCGCGCCGGGAACCGCGAGGGACCAGGAGCTGCTGTCAGGCCTTCATCTCTGCACACAATAAAAGTTCAGCCAATGCTTGAATGAGCGAGTGAATTTTACTTTACGCCAACGTGTGCGTTTTACGTGTCCTACATCGTGAAGGAATCATATGCAGGTAACCACTGAGAAGGAAAAGTGCTCTTAATAGTAAAGATCCGGCTCACCGGCTCAGCTTGGCCCACAAGTAGCCCCGCCCCCTGCTGGCAATCAACCGCCGCTCGCGCCTGCGCAAGAGCTACCTCCGCTCGGAGCCCCGCCCCAAGGTTAAGGCGGGCGGTTACAACCGGCAGGATCCTTTCCTTCCCCGCTATGAAGATCACCTACAGCTGCATAGCTAATGGCCGAGTGGTCCTAGCGGAGCTGGCCTTAACCGGCGGCTCCTATCAGGTACCTGCGAGTCCGCGCCTGCGCCGGCAAGGGTGTGTTCCTCGAGACGGGCGCCCGCCCACCGTTTCTCTCAGGAAGCTACGCTGCTGGCTGTCCGGCTGGCTCCGGGGTCACAGGCCGCGCCCCGCGAGAGGCCCCGCCCCACAAAAGGCCGTGACTCCCAGGCAGGAGTTACACATGCGCCCCATTTGACAGTGATTTGTACCCATGTCCAACTCCATACACCTTAAGATTCTCTCGCAGAGTAATGACCTGCAGTTCAGCATACATTTATTGAACATGTCGTATTTTCACAATCGCAAAGAATATGAAGGATCCAGCAATGAGGCTAGGCCTGACCTTGTGCCTGGAACTCCTTATCCCCTTTTGTCCATACAGTTGTTCTAGAGTGTAACGTTTATTAGGGCAGGTCGACTCTGAACGTTCTGTAGCACTTGGGAAGGGGAAGGGCTCCCTGCCGACTACAGTGGAGGGAGGTGATAAGACCACAAATTAAGGTGCCTGGCTTATAAGAATTCGTCTCAGCCAGGCAGGGGAATGAGAACTGTGCAGAGAGAACCGCATGGTGTATTTGGGAATCCCCAGGAACTGAAGGAAGCTAGAGCACAGAGTCACAATGTGGGCCTGGAGATGAGGTCAGAAAAGTGGGCAGAGTATATTAATATTTGCCATTCCCTTCATGCTGTGTTCCTTGGGGTTCTAACTGCATGTTTTAACTAAACACACTGGCTCATACCTATGACCTCTTTCCTGTGGTTACTGCCTAATCCACTTCCAACGTTAGCTCTCTCCAGAGTTGGATTGTCTAACAGAAAAAGTTCAAACATATCATGTCCAGAAATAAATTCTTTCTTAACAGATTCCCTCTTGCATGTTTCGGGTCTTGTTGAGTAGTTCTACTGAGTCATTCAAGCTGGAACCTAGGAGTCATTCTGTTTTTCTTTCTTCTTCATCATATCTATCTGTTCATTCCTTACCCAGTTCTGTCAATTCTGTCTCCTGGGAGGACTGTGAATCCATCTTTTCTTCTGAACCATGGCCCCACTTGGGGGCAGTATAACCTCTTCTATACTTTAAGACTTCTCAATTCCTCCTGGAAGCTTTCTAGGTGACCAGGCTAATTTGACACCCTTTTACTAAACTACTTAGTGGGCTGAATTGGAAACTTTTTCTTATTTGTCTCTGCCATTGAACTTCAAGAGAGGAACTATCTTCATCTCTGCTTTCCCAGCCTACAATGCTTAATAATGGTAATTTCTCTACAAATCTTTAGTAAGGACAGAGAAATGACATTAAAGACTTCCAGAAGCGAGCAGCCTCTCTGTGAAGCACACTGGAAGTATCATTTCTCAGCCATTTGGCTAAAATCAAGTGACACACACTGGAAGTGAAGAAGTTGGAAGGAGTAGGGCAGTCCACAAGTAAAGGAGATTAAATGTGTGCTGTGCAGAAAGCCAACCAAGGAGAAGAAAAAGGATGACAAGAAACTTTAAGGAATAATTCAGGTTGGCAGGAAAGAGAGAGCTCTGTACCACAGCTTCCCTCAATGCCAAAAAACCATCACAAAATATGGATTTGAAGAACATTAGTACCCAACATGATTAACACAGTGTCCAGTCACCAACACTACAGGGGTCCTGGAGCTAGACAGGATCCTACAAGGTCATCTGCCTGTAGCAGGAAACTGGGGCATGGCAAACTGGATGTGCAAGAAGCCATGACCTGTCAATCATGACCATGACACACGCACTTAACAGCTTCTGAGCCCTGCACCTGACATCAATCAGAGAATGCTATCTTCAATTCTGGCACAAGATCCAGCAGGTAGGATGGCCTAGATCTGATGAGATAGGATGGCCTAGATCTGATGTCAGAACTGGGGTATAAAAGATGGCTGCCATTAAGATCATGGCCACTGTAAGACTTTTACCAGCCTGCCTTGCACTCTGCAGGGCATACTTCTTTTCCTACTTTAACTGGACTGTGCTCTCTCTGCAGAGCACTTCTTTTCCCTTCTGTTCTTACCTTTAATAAATGTAAAAGCTCTATGTTTTTTACTTGCCTCATCCAATTCTTTGAGTAGGCTAACAAGAGCATGGAAGGGAACCCTAAGTACCCAGGTACAAATTAATATCTTTATCCTCCCCACAAGAAAACAAGCCAGACAAATCACTGCAGCACATGAATTCCAAAAACACAACTAGAGCCCACTTTGTCCTGTATTTTACTGTCCTGTGTTATGATTTGTTCTGATTCAACATCTTATTGTTTATATTCTCTGAAAGAGACTCTTGGGAGAAGCTAGGGCCTGGATATATTCCCATACTAATAGTGGAGTCACCAAGATCTTACGTACCCCTTTACTTTTTCAAGTTTCATAGGAAATTTTTTCCTAGAAAATCCCATCTTAGCTTTTTAGGCAATAACAAGAGTTTCAGGTTTTACTTTCTACCACTGCTAAACTTTACCTTTTCATAAAAGTTTCTATTTTAAGTGTCATTTCATGAAAATGGATATATTACTTAAAAGTGTGACTATTTAAGACTTCTTAGGTAATTTTCAGATTTTCATGCTTCTAAAGTAAATCAATAGAATTCCATATAATGCACTATATTTAAGGTTCTCAGGATATTTTAGTCTCAAATTTTCTTGAGAGAATAAGAGTTTTTGGAAATTATTTTTTAAAAGAGATAAGTGAACAATATTGAATAAACATCTTTAAAAAGATTGCTTAGAGTTGTTAAGTTCAAAGAATAAGAGCTGAAATTAATTTACTAGAATTGTATTTATAGTCTCCATGGCTGCTTTCCAGTCTTGAAGTCTATGTTATGGCTTATATCTAGATGCCCCACCAAAAACTTCTGCATTCATAGGTGGGGCTTTTCAGAGCTGGCAGAATCTATAGCATGTGATACTAGGATTAAGGGTGTATAGTACTAAATTAGTCCACTGATTACAGTTAGCATAGGTCTGGTTGTGGGTGGAATCAACCAGTAGGCTTAGAGCCTGGATGGAATATAAAGGGAGAGAGGGAAGACAGACTTGCTGCTGGTTGTTACTTGCTGTTGGGTGTTGCTTGCTGCTTCCTGCTTTGCCTGGGCAGTTTGTGATGCTCCTCGGCCATGCCACCCTTCCTTGGAGCCAGCCAACTATGAACTGAAACGTCTACAAACTGTGGACTGAAATAACCCTTTCCTTTTTCAACTTGTGGGTGTCAAGTATTTTGCCTCAGCAAGAGAAAAGTAGCTAAAACAGATTTTGGTTGGTGCTGTGTTATTAGCTGGCCATGTGGTTCAGGAGCCTTTGGTACCAGCTTGTGGGAAGAGCTTGAAAACATTTGGAAATGCCAGCTGAAGAAGCAGCCCTGGAATGCTGTAAGCTGAACTTGATGGGAGATTCTGATCACAGCTCAGAAGACCAGAATGCTGACAGAAATGCTTCCAGTAAAGAGCAGGCTCTGAAGGTTTCAGTTAGGAAGAAGGACTGCATTGGCTGTTGGATGCCAGACCATCTGTGTTATGCTTTGACAGAAAATTTGTCTGTATTTTGCTCTTGACCGGAGACTTTGCCTGAGACTGAGAGTAAAGGCAGTGGATTAATTAATCTGATGGAAGACATTTCAAGGCAGTCTAATATTGAGGCAGTGGCATGGATACTGCTTTAGGGGGCTTTTAACCAGCTCTGTGTTGAGAATCAAGAGCAAAGAGCCCAGTGGAATGATTTAAAATGTTTTGAGTTTGGCCAGAAAGGAAGCTCTGGAAAAGTAGGGACTGCAAAGATGGAGCAGGGGAGGATATATTTGCTGAATAAGACAATAGAAAAGATAGTCTGAGGACATCAGAAGAACCAGCAGAGTCCCCCGCCCCACCCTTTGCAGCCTCAGAACTGCAAAGATGAAAGACTCTTTATTTTGAGAAGAGAGCCCCAGAGCATCATGTTCTAGAATGTGGCAGTCTAGAGAATTTGTTCATCGGGATTGGGTTCACAATTCTCAGAAATCCAGGCCCTGGACCCTAACAACAGAAAGAGAAGAAAGCATGGCTAATGCTCCAGCTGATGGCAGATATCATCCGCATAGTGCTGGTTTTAGGTGCATGCAGAATGCAAGAGTTGTGGGGTCAGGAAGGCACCTATCCGGATTTCAAAGAAGGCCAGGGAGGCCAGGCATTGTGCCCTTGAGAGGGCGGTATGTGAGGCTGTGCCTGTGAAGCCAAAAGTGCGGTGGAGACCCAGAGGGTCGGGGAGGCCAGGAATGTGGATTATCTGAGGAAAGCTCCACGGAGTGAGTGAAACTTGCTAAGAGAGAGAGGCCAACTATCTTCAGTGCCACCGAAGTGGAGCCACCCAAGCCCTTTGGATTTCACAACTTGCCACAAATTACCCCAGATGCTGGACATGAAACTATGGGACTTTATGTTTGCCCTGCTGGATTTTGGTCTTGCTTAAGTGCCACTCTTTTCTATGCCCCTATTTGTACCTTTTAAAATAGTAATATTTATCTTTTGCCATTGGATGTTGGACATGTTTGACTTTATTTACATTTGTACAGAGTCTTGCATCTAAGCCTTTGCCCTTAATCTCAGATGAGACTTTGGATTCAGATTTTTCAGAAGTACTGAAACTGTTAGGACTTTGACAACTCTTAGAGATGGACTAAATGCCTTTTGCATAAAGGGATTGATTCTTTGGGGGTTCAGGAGTATAATGTTACAGCTTATATCTAGATGTTCCCCCCAAAGCCTCACATGTTCATAGGTGGGACTTTTTGGAGGTGGCTGGATCTAGAGCATGTGATACTGGTTTTAACTTATGTGGTACAGATTAGTCCACTGATTTGAATTAGCAAAGTGTGGGTGTGGAAAATGGAAGCCCTGGGTGTGGCTGGCATCAATCAACAGGTTTACAGCCTGGGTGGAATATAAAGGGGGAGAGAGGGAAGGCAGACTTGAGGCTGGTTGCTTGCTGCATTCTGCTTTGCCATGGACAGTGTCTCCTCTGCGATTTCCCTCTGTCATCCCACTCTGACTTGGAGCCAGCTGACTATGGACTGAAACTTCTACCCATTGTAAGCTGAAATAAACCTTTCTTCTTTTAATTTTTGGGTGGGTGTCAGGCATTTTATCTCCGCAACAAGAAAGGTAACTAAGACGGAGCCCTGTGTCAGATTTGACTATAAAAATAAGATCATCTAATTCAGCCCGTATTTGCAAACTTATGGGTATTCAAAAAGAATGTATATATTTATATGATCTTAATATTTTCCTCCAAATTCATATGAATGTTTTATAACCTCTGTCTCACCGTACATCATGAATCACACCCATTAGTTCTCCTAGGAAAAAGGTTTTTCTTTAATAAACTAATTAAAACATTGGTAAATTTAGGAAATAATAAAAGATTATACAGAGTAGATGTTGGTTGTTTATTTTTAGGAAGCAGCAGCAAAAGTGCTTAGACTCGTGCTTCTTAGAGCCAAACCAAAGACCACAGTGCAAATGGGAAGGTAAGTTCTAATACAAGTCAACTTTTTAACAGTTATTAGCTGATAATTCCAATGTTTAAAAAAAAACTAGTTGCCTAAACGCTTGTTTGAGTCTACAGGAAGGAGAACTTCTATATGTAAAAGTGTAAAATCATGGATGGCAATGATAAACGCCTCATTCAAGATAGCTGCCCTCTGTCTGCAAAGGGAAGGGAGAAGAATAAAACTTAGGAAGGAGACATAGGAAATATTAATTGTATCTCGAACATTGTAACTAGGTGGAGAGTCTAACAGTATTCTGTTATCTTTTTCCACATTTTTAATATACTGAAACATTTCATTAATAAAAAAGAAACTTCTACTTTAAAAATATAACAGCAAAGAATAATAGCCATTACTCCTACATTTTAGTTGGGATATTGTTGCTATGATCTAAACCAATCCTGAAAACACTTGCTAGCAAAGAAACAGATTAAGGAAAAGAGAGCTTCTATTATTTTTAGGCCCTTCTTCTCCTTCTCCTTCTTTTCTTCTCCTTCTTCTTTTTCTTCTTCTTCTTCTTCCTCTTCTTCTTCTTCTTCTTCTTCTTCTTCTTCTTCCTCCTCTTCCTCCTCTTCCTCCTCTTCCTCCTCTTCCTCCAATCCTGAAAACACTTGCTAGCAAAGAAACAGATTAAGGAAAAGAGAGCTTCTATTATTTTTAGGCCCTTCTTCTCCTTCTCCTTCTTTTCTTCTCCTTCTTCTTTTTCTTCTTCTTCTTCTTCCTCTTCTTCTTCTTCTTCTTCTTCTTCTTCTTCTTCCTCCTCTTCCTCCTCTTCCTCCTCTTCCTCCTCTTCCTCTATCTTCTTCTTCTTCTTCTTCTTCTTCTTCTTCTTCTTCTTCTTCTTCTTCTTCTTCTTCTTCTTCTTCTTCTTCTTCTTCTTCTTCTTCTTCTTCTTCTTCTTCTTCTTTCTTCTTTCTTCTTTTTGTTTTAACTTTTTTGTCTAAAGTAAAACATGGTTACATATCAAAGCTGGTGAACTGGTACACACCTGTACTCCCAAATACTAAGGAAGCTGAGGCAAGAGGATCACATGAGCCTAGGAGTTCCAGGGCAGCCTGGGCAACTTAGTGAAACATTTCAAAACAAAAATATCAAATAAAGATATAGTTTTGTGAAGTATTACAGAGACTACCAACAGCAACTACCACTGAGAGGAAAAAAACAGAACCCTGTCTGTTACCCCCAAACTCCCATCATGTGTTCTTTGCCATTCATTGCTTGCTCCCCTGAAATCAAAATAAACCATGGTCTCTGCTATTGTGGCAGTTCCTGCCCTGCTTTTTCATTGCCCCAGCACACTCAGATAATAGAGCAGTCCTGCCCATTTTTTTTATTTAATATCTTTCTCTCTCATTTTTTAATTTTTAATTTGATCTCTCTCTCTGTACTGGGAATTGAATTCAGGGCCTTCACACTGAACTATATCTCCAGCCCCACTCCTGCCTTTTCTGGAACAGGGTCTCAATAAGTTGCCCAGTCTGAGCTTAACCTTGCAACCTCCTGCTTCATTCTTCCACAGTGATGAGACTAAGTCTCTTCAAATATACGTATTCCATCTCCATCTCTTTCCTTTTCTTATAGTTTATTGTTAAGCAATACACAGAGTTTCCCACAGTCTACAAATGGGTTTGCTGATTGCATACTTAAAATTCAGCTTACCATGTTCCATGCAGCTGGATCCTTTCATAAAACTGTGTTTTTCCATCAGATGCTATTTACTTATGGATCTTACATCTCCTTCTGAGATCGTGGCAGCCATCCATACTCATTGCTAGTCCCTAGGACTATTAATTTATTGAGGATTGCAAATAGTGATAATTTAATTTTGTTTTTGGTGAAATAATTAGCTGAAATGATTTCCAAACCAGACACTTTCCTCATTTGCTATTTTCTTATCTATATTATACATTCAGATTTGAGACTTCCTTGAAGACTCTTTCTTTGGGCTCCAGACTCATAGTCCAACTGCTTGTTCCCATTCACTGCTTTGGTGTCTAAAGAGTGCCTCAAACTATGTCTAAAGCAAAGCCTCCTCTTGCAGTCTTCCATACATCTCTTTTCAGTTCCTTGGGCTGACAACCTTTGTCATCCTTGACTTTTGTCTTCTCTACATCCAAACTCAATCCATCAGCAAATCCTGTTACCTTTCTCTTCTAAATAGTAACCAAGCCACCAACATTCCCTGCCTGGGTTACTCTATAAAAAATTATTTTTCTCATTGTTTTTTATTTTTAATGATTACTCTTTCAAAAAAGATAGACTTAATAACATTTTCTAGTTATATAAAACACTATAAGTTTCCAAAATCAAATTTATAAAACAAAGCTCCTTCAAGGAGTCTTAATTTTTATTCCTTTTCTCTCCACATTACTTTCTCACACACTGTATAGGTAATAATTTTGAACAAGTTTTTATTTTTAATTATCTTTTTTTCTACAAGGAACACTTTCTATAAACATACATTATAGATTGCATATATACATTCATATTTCCTGTTTAGCAACATATGGGATAAACAGAGGTTGTATATCATACACCCTTTTCTCCACATTGCTTTTGTCAGGTAACAATGTATCAGATGTTCACATTTGTAACATTAAAAATAGTTTCCAGCGGGCCTGTAATACAGCACTGACAAGGCTGAGGCAGAATGATCACCACAAGTTCAAGGCCAGCCTGGGGACAGAGACTTCTGGGAAGATGGTGGAGTGAGAAACAGCAGAGAAGCAGCTTCTCCAAGATTTGGTTTCTGAACACTGCAGTATAGCAATGTGAGGACAAGAAAGAGGGAAGTGGGTTCCTGGGACCTAGCAAGGATCTGAAGTGAGAATTGAAGCCCATGAGGAGAGCAAAGAGACTTCAATGAAGAAAATGGAGACAGCAAATGGTGCTTTCTCCTTAAGCCTTGACTCACTATGTGGATGGGGCAGCTTGAACCTGAAGACACATGGTAACTACTGGCAACCCCAGAGGCATCCATGGAGAAAAGCACCAGTGGAAAACGAAGCAGTGAATACAGCAGATTGCAGTGGCTGGTGAGTTATTCAGGTTTAGAAATCCCCCAGGAGAGGGCAACAGACTGATAGCCATCTTGGAGATGAGCCAACTGAACTCAGAACTCAGAGCAGCTGCACAGGCTAGCTCCATCTAGCGGCTCCCAGTGTCAGGGTGAGGCAGAACTGAGTTCAAGTCAGCAAGAGGTCAAGGAGCCAAGTTTGAGTCAGCAAGAAACACACAAAGTGTGGTAGGCTGAATAAATCTAGTTCCAGCCTCACAGCTAGAAACCAACCTGATCTTCAGTGGAACTAAAGGTGCAGGCTTATAGTGATTATCCACTACTCCACAATATAAATCTATAGCTGGCTTGCTAGGATTAATCAACACAGAATTGGACTCTGTCTACCCACTCTGTCTACCAGTGACAGCAGAGAAACACCTAAAGTGGACATTTATCTCTTTTCTTGTTTTTCTTTTTGCTTTTGTTTTTGTTTTGTTTTGTTTTTCCTTGACAGTTCATGTTTTTATATGAATGTAAACATTATTCCTAGTTTTTTTTGTTCTGCTCCCTTCTTATTTTTATTTCTTCCTTCTCTTTCCCTCCTATCTTCTTCACCAGTTTCCCAAAGTTCCAAGAATCTTCCTCTGTTCTCCAGCCTTGCTTCTGATCTCTTGTATTTTCCCCTAACCTCTTTTAAATTCTCTCCCAAGGGTAAAATCACCATATTGAGGGCATATTTGCTGCATACAATTTTCTGGTTCATTTTAGATTTTGTTACATAACCAAAAATATAGTTCATCAGTTAAAGATGTCAAATTAATAGTTAGTAAAGTTGTCATTGTCTATGCTGTGTTTGATGCTGTTGATATTGCTGATTATACTTCTTTAGCCATGTTCCAATCAGTTGTTCTTCCTGACATGCCAACATGGAGATTGCCTAAGGGTAATAAACAATACTGTAGGCCAGGGCCAAAAAAGCAAGGGGTAGACCAAATAAACAGCAACTTCTCATCCTCAATTAACTGAAAAGATAGGATCTTGCAACAGACTCAAAAGTCATCTCTGAGAAGTAGTCATTTCCTAAAGGTTCTAAGTACTAGCAATAAAACTACCTGCCATAAGCAATTTACAAGGATCAACCCAGGAATTAAACTTTTAAAAATGGAAAATGAGAAGACACTTAAGCAAATGCAACCCCAGACATCAAGCTCACCAAAGGCAAACCTAGGGGGAAATGAGATGGAACCATCCAAAACACATCTATCTGGACTCTCTGAAGTGATAACAGCAGAAGTAACAAAGCAGATGCATGAGGCTCTAGAAAAAAATCAAATCAGAAATAATTTCTCAGATAACTACAGTGATGGTGACTATAATGAAAGACATGGTTAGTGACTAGAGCAGAAACAGATTAAAATAAGAAGAGCTTAGGATAATGACAGAAATTATGAACAACCAACATAGGAAAGAAATGGAATCCATGACATAGATTCAGACATCCAGGAGATTAACAATTCCATTGAACGCATATGCAGCAGAATAAACCAATGTGAGAACAGACTATTATCTAGAAGACAGGATTGCAGTTAGTGATCATGAAAAGAAAGATTTCTTAAATATAGTAAGGGATCATGAAAAATCAGTCCAACAGCTGCTAGATGATGCAAAGAAGAATAACAGATTGATCGTTGTCAATGAAAAAGCAAGAGATAACACAAATGACATTAAAAACCTGTTCACAAAAGTAATAGCAGAAAATTACCCAAACAGAGAAAAAGAATTTGACACACAAATAAGTGAGGCATAGAGAATTCCAATTAGCCATGAGAAAAAATCTACACCAAGGCATGTAATAGTCAAGATTCCAGAAATTTTCTGGGCGTGGTGGTGCACACCTGTAATCCTAGCACTCGGGAGGCTGAGGCAAAAGGATCACTGCAAATTTGAGACCAGCCTGGGCCACGTAGTGAGTTCCGGGTCA